TTCAGAATATTAGTAAGAGTTACTAAATTCTTACGAGACCACTTTCCAAAAATTAGAGCGTCGTCCGCTTTCCAAAAATTAGAAAAATTTATTCAGACCATATTAAGTGATAAAAGATTCTGGAAAAAAAAAACAGTCTGAATTACAAAACGTCTGAACGAATTAGACATAAATGGTAGTTAAGAGCTGAAAATGAAAAAAAAAACAAACAAGACCTAAATGTAGAAAGTATCTACCAGTAATTTTAATTAAATAAGTATCTAATCATTGTATTTTAATTTTTATAGTCGTAATTAATATTTGAAAACACACGTTCAAAAACCCCATATCGATCTTCATAAATTATTATTTAATACTGTATCGATGAAAATTCAGATATTTATCACTTATTTTATCTGATATATTTAGGAGATCAGTTGATTTTAATATAATGTTTTTACGTAGTTAATGATTACAGTACAACCTAATTTGGCATTAATATCATTAATAGTTACAAAATCTACAGATTTCAAATTAAAATGAACATGGGAAAAAAGTTGAATGTTTATTAAACTACTGGAGAAAAAAAAAGTATTTTAATATAGAAATTAAAACGGATTTTTTTTTTCTTTTGAAGTATATAATATTTATATACGGGAAATAGAACAACTAAACTCACATATCATTTCCATTTTTGTTAAGATTTGAACTTTAACTTATTAGGAGGCTAAAAACTCACATATCGCTAGGTCAAACGCCCTTTAGTAATTAAAATAGACTTTATTGCAACATTTTAAATAAATTTTTGTCTTATATGAAAATTGTTAGGAGGTTTTCTTAAGTTTTAATGCTATAATATAATTATGCAATTGTATATTATCGTTTGCTATTTTATTGGGTATTTGTGATTTTTTTAAGAATGACAATTTATACTATATTATAGAGTATTTTACAAAAACTCTTAAAAATCATTTTATATATATTAAATGTTGTTTATTGATACATATTACTTAAAATTCGATAATACAAGTAAATTATGCGTATGTACAACTTATTAAAGCTCCATATTTAAATTTGTGTAACTAACTGCAGATAAACATAATCAAATATTGGATAAGTATCTCATTTTAAATATAAAAAATTTAAAATATATTTAGGATAAGTAGAAGGGTACTCGTGCAATGCAGCGAGATAAATCTTAATTTTAATGTTTAGTTTTTATTATGTCTTTATCAATATAATACGATTTTATGTGGTTTTTAAAAAGTGATAATCTTTTTATTTTTTGAGTGAATTTGAAGATAACATAAAAATTTGAAAAAAATAAATCGATATTAATATCAGATTAACTATTTAATATTTCTCGTTTTTGTATGTAACTTCTTTAATTCAATTCTTTGTTATAATTTAATTTAGATTTAATAACAAAATAATTTATTTTTGGTTTAATAATATAAAGATAATAATAAAACATTATGTTAGAATCAATAATTATCTTAATTATATTTTAGATTTTATATATTTAAAATGAATGTTTATCTTGTATTTGATTATGTTTATTTTCAGTTAGTTACACGAATTTCAAAATGAAACTTTAATAAGTTGTACTTACGTAAAATTACTTGTAATCTTGAATTTTAAGTAATATACATGAATAAACAGTACTTCATGCATACAAAATGATTTTTAAAAGTTTTTGCCAAATGTATTACAATATAGTATAGATTATCGAATTCTAACAAAATACTAATCATTATCTTTATAAAAAAAACTATATTATTAAACCAAAAATAAGTGACTTCATTATTATATATGAAAATTATAATAAAAAATTGAATTAAAAAAATTATGTTAAAAAAACTTATAAATATTTAATTTCATATTAAAAATGATACGTTTTATTTCAAAATTTTACTATACCTTCAAATTTATATTCTATTAAAAAAATTACTCGTTTTTTGTATACCATATAAAATTGTATTATAACATTGACGAAGACATAATAAAACAAAACATAAAAATCGATATGTATCTTGTTGCATTGTGCAAGTTTCGTTATAGTTTATACTAATTAACTTAAAAGTATATAATTTGGGTTATAATAAACTCTAACGGGTTAAATTAGAATTTGTATATAAAACAGGTTATAATACATTTAAAATGCATTCAAATAATTACATAATCGTATGTCAGTTTATTAAGGGAGTGTTTGGGATTGCTTATTTGAAACAACTTATCAACTTATTATAAGTCAGAATGGTTTAACTTCTTCAAAAACTTCTTATTACCGGTTTGACATCGGTATAAGTTGTTTATCCAAACCCTCAAAAGTGTTTATTACTGGTACCACACCGGAATAAGTCAATTAATTTGTTTATATAAACAATCTCAAACACCCTTTAAAACTATTATTGTTCTAATAATACAATATTTGTATTAATATTTAATACATTAATTATTTATAAAAAAAGACGACACACCTTGAGTTGGTGGGTCAATCCAACTTGTTTTTATCCGTATATCTGTTACATCCACTTATTTTTATCAGATCCCGTTTTCTCTATCAACTAGACTTGTGTGCTTTTCTTAAGGGATATGTAATTGGTTTTTTATTAAGTCATGTATAGATAAAATTGTATATTTAGATTAATCTATCTGTATTTGAATGAGTATTTTCATGGATAAAATGAGCGTGTTTTTTAATTGGGAAGAAACTTTGGAAAAAAAAAAAACTTAATTCTTTGCATGAAGTTCCTCTTATAAAATATAAACCACTTTCAATATCATTAAGGGGCCGTTTACCTAAATGCTTACCCGGTAAGTGCTTAAACTTAAAAGTCAACACTATAATTTATTTTATTTGGTAAGATTGTAGTACATTAAAATGTATCATATGCAACAATTTACCTGGTAAACGCTCACATGGGTAAGATTCGTCACCCTCACTTACTGGGTAAGACTCTCCATCCTTATCATCGCTCTTACCAAGTAAGATTCTTGGTCCTTGCCATGTTCATCATATGAGAAAAATTACCCGGTGGTAAGTACTTACCGGGTAAGCATTTAGTAAACGGCTCCTAAATCACTATTAAATATTGGAACTATTAGTACTTGGTTCCAAGGAAGGTAAACATTTTTGTGTGGCGGGTTATCAAAGACAACATTCCAGTAAGGTCCAATTTGGTTAGACGTGGGATCGATTTGGATGATGTTTTATGTTCGAGCTGTAAAGATGATCAAAAGACTCGAGAGCGACGCCTTTTAAAGTGTAGACTAGCTTCGAGAGTTTGGTCATGTTTATTTTTATGATGGAGATTCGACGACAATCTTGGGAATTCAGCGAGATTTTCAATCGTCGAGGTGGAGCTCGAGCTTCGGCTTGGTTGAAATATGTTTGGCAAGCTACTATTTGGTCTACGCCATATATATTATGGGAACATCGTAACCAAGTCGTTTTTCGGAATAAATCTTCACTTGTAGATTTTTTATTCACGGATATTCAAGCTAGATCTTACTGTTACATCTCGAGACGAATGCAGAAAGCTTGTATATTACAAGACATTTGGTTTCCCGTGTCGGTTTTTATACCTTCTGTGTCGTGGGTATTTCCAGTTGCCGGCATCCCGGGTTTCGGGCTTGAGTGATCTTTGTTGCTGTATCGTGGTTTAGTTCAATTTAACCGTGTTTCAGGTTGTTTTGTAGTTAAAAACCCAAAATCCCCATTTTCTCCATTTTTCCCGACACTTTAATAATTCTAGAGTATTTTGAAGTTAAAAACTAATTTGTTTGACTTTAAAAAGAGTCAAAATGGAGTCTCAAAAAGTTACAAGTAAAAATAAAATCCAATTGACTTTAAAAAGTCAAAATTGACTCTCGAGATTTCTTCTTTTCCAATATTCAGGAAACTAAAACATAAAATGATGCATCTAGTGGAGTGTTTTTTTAACCGTAGATACTCGAGTCAGTATTAGGCCGACCAACTAAACCCTCAGACGACCACGAACGGCCTAGAATCATTGCATGTGAACCTCTATGGCCATAAGGGTTTGGTAGCACCTGGATTCGAACCTGAGGATGATGAGCTGCTTTCATTACATCCCCTGATTCTTAACCAGTACACCACAACCCAACAGGTTTATCTAGTGTAGTGTTGTTAACAACTTACAGATAGATGTTACTATCAAAACAAAAGCACTTCTTTCGTCTCTATGTTTTACTAACATTCGGACGTTTAGTTTTTGCTTCAACGTCCACTCAATCAAGACATAGGGGCCGTTTTACTCAAATGTTTACCCAGTAAGTAAGTACTTACCGGTATGAGTCAACACTATAATTTATTTTTCTGCGTAAGATTATAGTGCATCGAAAGGATATAGTATGCAACAATTATCCGGTAAGCACTTACCCGAGTAAGAGTCGTCACTCTCACTTACAGGGTAAGACTCTCCGTTCTTTCACCACTCTTACCGGATAAGACTCTCCATCCTATTACCGCTCTAACCGGGTAAGATTCTAAACCCTTACCATGTTCATTTGGTAAAAAAAATTACCCGGTAAACACTTACAGGATAAGCGTTTAATAAACGGCTCCATAGTCAGTGACTGTGATATCCCGTGTGCGTTTATTGGATGATGGATACCCGTTGACATAATATCAATCAAACCAGAAAGGATCGTTAAATCCGACATAACAGTAATTGGGATGGGATTTGGCAATCGGAATAGGTATAGACAATAACTCTCCTTAACATGGAAGGAAAAGAAACGGAACGAAAACGTTCTTTTTATTTGTGTTCTCGAAAGGGAAGGAAATAGAAAAACGAAAGAGGAATTTCATGTTATTTGAATATGATAGAAAAGAAAAAAAAAAGTTGTCAATTTTACAAATATACCCTTTAAAAATGTATCATTTAAAATAAAATGTTGGATAGTTTTGTAATTTTAATAATCTTCAAGAACACGATTATTTTTACTTTCCCTCCGTTTCTTTTCCTTTTTCCGTGGTAATAAAGGTTTCGAGAACACAGCATAATATAAGGACTTTTATTTATTGAAGGCAAAGAAGGATTCTCAAAGCAGAATTAAGTTTACACTTGCCTTTCATGTACCATACTATGCTTTTCCCAGGTGTCTGTATGTTTTACCTGTACAATTTAAACATCCAAACTCATCAGACTAAACGAACACAGTATATCCTATTCGAAAGCTGGGTCAGAGGATGAGATGTATGCAGACTTGTCCTCTATCCCAAAGGGTAGAGCGCGGCTGTTTCCCATCATAAACCCTAAAACCCTACATCTGAACTTTATTTTGGGATTGTTTGTTAGCAGCTTAATGAGACTCGCAACTTATTCAGTCAGCTATATAGTGGCTTAATGATAATAGAAAGTGGCTTATTCAGTAAGCTTTCTAGGGAGAGCTTTGTGTACAAAGCCAAGTTTTTTTCAAACTTGTCCCTCCCAATTAAAAAACACATCCTTTCATCCATGAAAAAACGCTTCTAAAAAAATACCTTTCTCAATTTATACAGACAGAATAATCCACACAGACATCTTTTATCAAACTTAGGGAAACATTGGAACTCTCATAAAAGTTGAGATTTTTAAAACTATAAGAGCTACGTCATGAATATGATTAAACCAATGGCAGATAAACCATTAGGGATGAGATCCAGAGAGGACCCTGGAAAAGGAAAAGAACTGAAGCACTCATCTGAACCATTGGCCTAAGATGATCCAACAGATGTGATTAAAAAGGTGGTCATAACCACCTTTCTTAAAAATACAAAATATTTTGCCTTAATTTTTAAATCGAAAATCAGCAAAATACAAACAAAGAATTGGAGTAAAACAAATTACACCAAAAATAACCCTTACTTTTTTTATCTTTAATTTGACATCCATTTTGATATATTTTTTTCATCCGTTTTCCCCTGTTTTCGGTTCTTTTTTGGTTGGATCTTTACCCTAACCCACTATACATTTAACAAAAATCAAAGAAATTTTAACATTATAGCAAGATAATTGACATAGGGGAGGGTTCAATTGCAAACGTAAGTTCCGTCGTGAACCAAAAGCACACGCCAAGTGTCCCAAACGTTCATGGGATATTTATCATGAATGGTATAAAATTCATCCTGAATGCTAGTAAAAAAAAAAATTCACCTTCGTTATTCATAATAAGTGGGAACAAATGGGGACACGTGTCGCACTCTCCTTTGTCCGCCAGTTCACAACGGAAAATAAGTTTGCAACTGAACTTTCCTCGATTCACATTATAGTCAAGTAGGTCGGGTTCGGGAAAACCGTAAAAAAATGAAAAAAAATGAGAAAGACCCTGGTAACTATTCATTTATACAGTATGCACATGTGCATACAAGTAATTTGTTCGGTATGTACTTGTGCATAACATGCACACGTGCATAGAAACCATAAACAACTTCAATTACTTGTATGCGCATGTGTATATCGTACAGATGAACGGTTACCAGGGTGTCACTCAGTTTTTCATTGTTTTGGGGTTTTTCCCCGAACCTCCCTCTAGTCAAGTATCTACTGAAAGAGAAACAATATGTTACCAGATGTCTGAAAAGAATAACTTCTGCAGCAATGACATTAGGTTGTATCCATCGAATCTTGTAATACCGAAAGGAGCAAAGGTTTATACGAGACTAACGGGGTATAATTGAGCTCATAATTTACATTGATCGAGCCGAATATGTTGAACTTTCCGGCACTACTGTGAGCAACTTCTGCATCACAACATTTTTTGAACACCACTCGTGCACGCCCGTTCTGCCTATCAACTTCGGTTTCCGATTCCATCAAAGCCCCAAACCGTCTAAACATTTTATTTAGATGAATTTCCGAAGGAAAATAGATACCCTCTGGGAACCTCAACACGACTTCCGTTGCCAAATTTTTCTGCCTTCGCTCAACAAGCTCTGATTGTTCCTTTAACCCCATTTCATGATTACTAAACAAAAACCGCTTTTTATTCGATCTACGGTGTGCTTTTGCTGGTTTATCTGGTTCATAAGCCACAGCATGCTGTTCTTGCCCTCCATTCTGATTCTCTTGCAACAATTGCTCTTCTGAATGGTTTTGAACGATCCTATCCGTCCAATAAGAATCATTAACATCATCAAATTCAAACTCTTCAGGTTCGTTTTCATTGGACGTTTTTCTCTTCCTAACACTGAATGGTCTTCCAACAGCTGTTCTACGATCATGGAAGAATGGTTTGATGGTATTTAAGAAGCTGTACACTTTCATAGGATCTTGAGCAACCAAGTGCAGTTGTGATAGCATCTCAGCTACGGATGATTGCTTATTCTCGATAATCGTCCTTTCCCCTTGGGAGTTCTCGGGTCCGACTAGTTGGTCAACATGTTGACCATCAGGATCACTGTTGGATTTCAGAACTAACGGTGGCCCTGGCCCAGTCAGCTGGCTCGCTATCCTTTGAATGAATTCGCCAACTATAAAGGACGGCTTAGGAGTTGAACCTAGATCCGTGGGTACTTTATCAGGATGTAGACTCGGCTTGTTCTCTGAATCATCAGAAATGGAATCAAGATCCTTCTGTTTTTCAGAACCCGTCACTTCATCAACTTCAGTGCGTGAAGCGACTTCTATTGTTGGATGCACGCTCTCATCTTTGCTCGTTGTACCAACTTCAGCTCGCAGGTCTGAGTTTTCAGTCGATAAACTTTGATTATCGGGGTAAACTAGCCTCTGACCAACAGAATCACCATCTTGAGCTTCAATTTTCGTGGTTAAAACTTCTTCTGGACCAAGATTGGCTGCGGTTAATGATTCGGGAATTTTTGAGGAATCTGAAACCTCATCTCCTTTTTGAGTTTTCACATCCATCACATCATCTCCATGAATTCTCTCTTGAACAGATTCAGGATGCTGATCCACGATCTCCTCAGCCTCAACGGTCAAACCCTTTTCTGTTTCCTCTATATCTATTACAGCAGTTTCTACTCCAAATTGAGGCTCTCCACTAGATGTGTCAACAGCCGATTTGGAATCTTCAACACCAGTTCCGCTTTCAAGATTTTGAGCATCGTTTGCTATAACTTCAACTTGTTGGTCCACATTTTCGGCTTGTGCAATGACATCACCTTCACTTGTTGCTGAATTGACCACCTTATCAGCACAAACCAAACTTGGATCCACAGAAACACCAACTTGAACTTCATCTTTGCTGGTTAAACCCTCCTCTACAACCACAACATCAACATCCTCAGAACCAGGATTTGTTGTGATCGAAGGCTCTGAAATCTTTGAGGAACCTAAAGCTTCAGATTCTTTTCCAATCTTTTCGTTCACCATACAATCTTCATCACCCACTTGTTGATCACATTCCATAGGCTGTTCCATGATCTCCTTGGCCAAACCTCTATCTGATTTCTCCTCACTATCTATCAAATCATTCTCTCCTCCAACAAGACGAGTCTCTCGGCTTGTGTTTATAGCTTCAATTTTTGGATGTAGACTCTCTTCTTTGCTCATTTCAGCAACTTCATCTGTTCCTACATTAGCCAATTCAGTTGAAGAATCTTGATTATTAGCAGAAACTAAACTTGGATCCACAGAAACAGTTTCTTTAGCTTCATCTTTACTGGCAAAACCATCCTGCACAACTATCATGTCAACTTTCAATGACTCTGCAATCTCTGAGGAATCTAAATTCTCAGCTTCTTTCTTGTTTTTTTGATCCATCATACGATCTCCGTCAGCCACCTCTTCAGCAGATTCTACATGCTGCGCCACAACTTCCTCGGTTGAACCTCTTTCGGTTAAATCCTTGTTATCTATTACAACAATATCTCCTCCACCAATTGACGATTCTTTAGAATCATGTACCAAGGATCCACAAGCAGTTGCATCATTGCCTTGAAGAACGTCTTTGCTTACCTCTAAACTTGTGTTCAACCCTTCCTCTATCACCGTCACCTCAACTTTCTCAAAAGCTACAACCCCACTTCCAACTGAATCGTGACAAACATCTTCACCTGAAGCCGCGGCTTCTTCCATATCCATATTCAGATCATGAGAGACTGTTTCTTTCATACACTCTTCAACATATTCTACATGTTGCTCCATGTTCGAACCTTTTTCCATTTGCTCCTTGCCGGCAATATCTCCTCCACCAAGTTGAGGCTCCCCCTTTGACTTAAAACTCATTTCACAATCTTGTACCTCTATACCTGTTTTCAAACCTTCCTCATTCACTGTCACCTCAACGTTCTCAAAAGCTAAAACCCCACTTCCAACCGAATTACAACAAACATCTTCACCTGAACCTGCAACTTCTTCTTTCACATCCATATTCTGATCACGAATCTCTGCTTCTTTCCGCGTACACTCTTCAACAGATTCTACACGCTGCTCCAGACTCGAACCTCTTTCCATTAGCTCATTCTCATCAATTACAGCAATATCCCCTCCACCAATTTGAGACTCTCCCCTTGATTCAAAATCCATTTCACAATCTCGAACCTCAACTTTCTCAACAGTTAAAACACTAGTTCCAACTGAATCATGACAAACATCTTCTTCACCTGAACCTGCAACTTCTTCTTTCACATCCATATTCAGATCACGAGTCTCTGTTTCTTTCTGCATACACTCTTCAACCAATCGAACAGAATTCGCCTTACTATCCAAATCAACAGCATCAGCACCAACAACATCCACCATCATATCCTCCCCTTCATCTCTCTCACCCAAACCCCCCTCAGTTTTCCCCTTCTCTTCAACAATCACACTAGATTTCTCAATATCAGGCATATCACGATCCACATGTTCTTTCATACTTCACAGAGTAATCCAAGTAGATCAGCTACATGAAAATAAACACTCAATCTTACTCGATAGAGGATCAGATTGAACAATTAAAACCCTAAGTTTATAACAAAATTATTCACATCTATGAACAAAGTTAACAAAAACAAAAAAATACTGAACAAGAAATTTGTACCTTGTTGATGCAATCAAGCTACGAAATTCTAGAGAGAGAGTGAATTTCGAGTAGTGTTTTTGTAAGATTTGCAGAAGGAATCTTTGCATCCAAAATAGGAGGCGAAAATATATGTGTTCTTCACCCTAATTTTGGTTTTGGATCAATGGCGTGCATATGGATTCGATGAGCTTACTTCGAATCGATCCAATCAGATACAGTCTCCTTTTTTGTGGATATATCAAGCAATTATAATTTATCGAGCATTTAAACAACTGATGATTTTAAAGTAACAAAAACACAGCTAAAAGTATTATAAGGTAACGGGTAATATACCAAATCTTTATCTGGGTAAGCGTTTATCAAATCAATTTATTTTATCGAATGAATATAAAAAAGATTAAGAATCTTACCCGGTACGAGTGAAAGTAAAAATTTCAAGTCTTACCCGGTAAGTGAGGACAAAGACTTTTATCATAGTTAACGCTTATCGGGATAAAATGTTGCATACGATGCGTTTTAATGAATAAAATTTTGTCCGATAAGTAAGTGATAGTATTGAATTTTATCAGTAAGTGTTTACCGGGTAAGTATTTAGATAAACGGCCCCTAACTTATTTTTTTTTATATCCGTTTGAATGAATATAAGTTAATTTATAAGCTAGCTTTTTTTATTAACCTGAATATCCAATCCGTTATGTAAGCCGATTAAACCCAGGGCGATCACATGTTTTGCGAGTAGCCTGGAGTCACTGCATTTGAACTTCCATAACCGCAACGGGAATTTTATTTCTCATATTTAAACCTGAGACCTCTAGGTACTTTTGACCTCTTGAGCTCAAGTTTAAACCAATAAGACACCACTCTTGTGGTTTTATAAGCTAACTTATTGAAAAGTTAGTTATGGACGGTTTGTTAGGAGCTTACATTGTGTTCTCGAATTTAATGAGAAAATATAATATATATATATATATATATATATATATATATATATATATATATATATATATATAT